AATCTCTTTTCTCACATTTGGTACCAAGGGACTGGCACCCAGAAGGTGTAAGTGTTTACAGAGGTTCTCAAAGAGGGACCGCCAGACTGGCCTGGGGGTGGAAGAGCCCCCCCAGGCCAGCCTTGACCGTACTCCTCCCTGTCAGCCTCTGTGCAGCAGCGGGTCAGCAAGAGTGTGGGACAGGAAAGGAAGCCAGATCCCCAGTGTTGTTCTAAAGAATGTTAGAAACATCAAAGGAACCTCTCTTAGACCATCTAGCATATCCCATCCCAGGTACATATAAGTGACTCAGTAAATACTGGTGAAAATGGCTTAGGAATTATCCAAGTTAAAATAATGCACATACTGGGGCACCTGGGTGGTTCAGTCAGTTAAGTGTCTGACTCTTGATTTTGGCTCAGGTCATGATCTCATGGTTTGTGAGATCAAGCCCTGTGTTGGGCTCTGCTTTGACAGTGAGGAGCCTGCTTGGGATTCTCTCTCTCCCTCGCTTTCTCTCTCTCTCTCTCTCTCTCTCTCTCAAACTAAATAAACTTCAAAAAAATAATGCACATATTTATTATTAGAACAAGGCTCTCAGCTGACTGTCCAACATCTTAATATTATTCTTGCCCTGACCCTGTCACTCCACTCAACCCCATGCATGTGAATACACATGGACTGTACCTCAAGCACATGTGTGCATGCACCCATGAGAAAAGACTGTTAGAAAGCTATGCCCTTGACCCAAATCTAGATCTTTTTACATTGATAAGAAAACAGCCCGCTAGGATTAATTATACAGGCCAGATTTAGAACAAAGGATAATATGTTTAAAAATTGTTAATTATAAACTATAACATCAGTAATTGTTACCACATAAAAAGAATTTGGGTGAGGGGGAATATATTTTTACCCATTCCCAGGGTTTAGGAGAGGATTAAGTGATGGGGAGTTATACTCTGCATGGAGTTCTTGCTGAGGATGATTTTGTTTTCCTTCTCCTCCCCAGGTGTGACAGTTGGCAATGTCAGGGCGTTTTTGATGGTCACTCCTGGGGTGGGCAAATACTACTGTCCTCTGGTGTGTAGAGCCCAGGGAACCTGCTAAATCCTCTCAAATGCACAGAACAGTCCCCCGTGACAAAGCATTATCAGCCCAAAATGTCAATCGTGCTGAGGCTGCGAAAAGCCTGCTGTCAGTTGTTAGGTTTATTTGGTGACCTTTACAGTGGATTAGCGTTTATTTCGTGAATTCAGAGGTGAAATTAACACTAGGACTGGTCATTTTTCTTTGTATGCTGCGCTTGGCCTTGGCACCCCAGCTGAGGCCGGGACAAGCCGTGGGCATGTGTGAACGCCTCGATTCACGCAGTCGAAGACAGCAGTGCCTGCACGAAGTTTTAGCTGCTAGTGGTAGCAGCGAAGGGAGATGAGCTGATGTGCCCAGTACAGGGGGCTGTGGGAGGGAGGGCCAGGGGTAAAGCTGCCTTGTGGAGAAGGAGCTCTGAGAGCCAGCGGTGGCGGCATCGCCTGGGAACTTGAACCGCATTGTTCGGCAGAGTTTCAGCAGCCAGGATGGTAAAAGAAAAAGGGAAGACAAGAGCTCAAATGGAAGAGTTGAGGCTGCAGAATAAGATGAAATAAGAACACCGACTAGAATTCCTTCTGAAAAATGCACACTCTCGGCCTCCCCAAAGATCTGCTAAACCAGAATCTGGGTTTTAGCAAGCAAGATCTCATGTGATGCTTGTGCATCTGGAAGTCAGAAGAGCCCTGGGTGAACGTTTTGTACTTCACATCGTGGCCCTGACTCTTGCCAGCCATGCGGCCTGGCCCAGGTTACAAAACTTCACTGCACCTTAGTTATTCTGGCTGTAAAATGGGGATGACAGTGTCACCTGGTTCGTGAGATGGTTGTGAGACCCAGACGTGCGTATTTGTGTTGAGGACTCAACGGTAAATGCTTACCAGGCTGAGCCGTGACGGATAATAAGAAAACTAAGCTCAAGGAGAGCACATTAGGGAGGCAGTGCGTGTCCTCACCGCCAGGCAATGCCTGTACTCCTTGCAGATCTACTTCTTTGGAAGAAGAAAATAGCAAACACTGGAGCTTCAAAAGACTCTGGTTTTTGTCAGCAACCCAACTGGCAGAGAGTGATGGACCTGGGGACCAAACAGCCGAAACTCCCAGACGTGTTCCATCAAGTCCAGCCTGGGCTATGCTCTGTTCGTTACCTTGCAGGGTCTGAAAGTCAGTAGGACTGTGCAAGAAGCTCCGGAGGAGAAAGGTGTTGAAGAGGGGAGGGCAGGTTGGAGGCAGGAGGCTACGCGAATGAGCCCTTGACTGATCAGCGGGGTTTGAGAATGGGAAAGAATTTCTAGACTGCTCCTCGTGCTCCGTCGCACAGGTGGGTCCCTGGCTTCCTGCTCTGTGCACGTGAAATCATGTGTGGCGAGCCTGTCCCCCTCCCTGCCCCGCCTGGGGGGGGGGGGGGGGGGGGGGGGGGTGGGTCCGTCTCCCAGCAATCACCTTTTGGAAACAAGACCCTTGCCAGCCAGTGGGCGTATAAATCCTTCAATATGAGACGAAGCAGAACTTGAATCACCACCACATTGTTCAGCGGCGTTTCAGCGGCCAAGATGGTAAAAGAAAAAAGGGAAGACAAGAGCTCAAATGGAGGAGTTGAGGCTGCAGAATAAGATGAGATAAGAACACCGACTAGAATTCCTTCTGAAAAAGGAAGAGCTTGAGCTGTGTTGTGTTCAGGAACGACTAACGCTAACAGCTGTTGGGGGGGATTGGTTTGTTTTCTGAGTGTTTTGCAGAACATTTTTCAATCTCTGATTTATATCATCACAGGTTTGCATTATTTTTCCTCAGTTTTTTAATTATGAAAATTATTCATTGTCACAAATGTAGGAAATACAGAGAAAAAGAGCAAGCACGCCCAGACGTCGTACCCATCTAGTTGTTCTTTTAGTCAATAGCTGTGTGCCAGGCACCTGCTGGGTGTCAGGGACTATGCTGGATGCCAGGGAAACCCTCAGGGACAAGGTGGCCTTGTCTTGCTTTCTTAGAGCTTACAGTTGAGTGGCTAAATCTTGATGTGTTTCCTTCCAATAGTTTTTTGTGTGCCCTTAATGACTATGTAATAGCAAACAAAGCTAATATTTGCTGTATTCTTACTGTGTGTTCACCCCTGTTTCGGTTAGTGTATGTGATATGTATTAACTCAATCCCTGTAACAGTTCTGTGAGGGAGGTGCTGTTATTCCTGCCCGGCAGATTGGGAAACCGAGGCATAAAGAGGTTAAGCAGCTTGAAGATCACAAAATCAAAAAATGTGGAGTCTTGATTAAAACCCAAACAGCTTGACTCCAGAGCCTGACCTTTTAATCAGTGAACTATACTGCTTCTTATAATATTTATAAAATTGAGATCATTCTGTACAGACAAGTGTGATTCCTGCTTTTATACTGACCATTACACGTGAGCACCCTTCTATAAGAACAAATGTGCACAGACTACCTCCAAGAGAAGAATTTTAATGTATTCATTCGTTTAATAGGATCATAAGTAAACAGAAATGTGATGATAAGTATTTAAATGCTTACAGAGATCACAGAGCATTCTTAATGCTTATCATAAATTATTTTAATCCAGTAACTTTAAGAGGAGTTAAGATGGACAAGTGACTTTAGGAAATGAAATGTTTTGTAGCTTATGTTTGATTTCATAGATTTCATAGCAGCAAATCAAACCCAACCTTAGCCAAAGATAATGAGAAGTCAACGCTAACAGCTGTTCTGGAAATTAATCGTCATGTGGCATTGTGTTGGAGCACTGGAACACTGGAAGAGACTGAATGTTGTGATCTGGGTGGTTGTGAGATTTGAGTTGTCTGAACGGCTTTTCAAAGCATGTGTTAAGACCATGGTTTTATTTAGATTCAGTTTAAACTGACATTCCCACGAATCCTTCGCCTCAGGTGAGGTCTGCTCACACAGGAGCTTTTGCTCTTCTCCACTAGTTTCAAAGTGAGCAGGTGGGGCGTTCTTTCCGCTGGTCTGTAAGGTACCTGTGGGTTATAATAACCTTGTGTAGCAGTGGGGTCTGCAGTTGAGAAAGATACACATGCATGAAATGTGAAGAGATTTCAACTAATAACTAGAAATTTGGAAACTGGTGACATAGGAAACCTGAATTATAGAGATATCTAGCAGAAGGCGTCAACTTCCAAATCAGGCAGACATCGGTTGCGATCCCAACACACCTGTGTATTCACTGCCTGACCCTGGGCAAGTTACTTTGCTTGGCTGAGCCTTAGTTTTCTCTTCAGGCTAATTAATCCCTGCCTCTGGCGTTGTCATCAGGATTAAATGAGTCTGTCTGTATAAAACTCCTGGCGTGGTGCCCAGCACTTGGTAGAGGATCCGTTAATGGTCACTGTTATTATTGGCTATTAAATATGCTTTCATCTTCTTCCAAAATACCTAGCCTTGTAACATAGTGGTTAAGAATGCACATGGAGGCCAGACTCCTTGGGCCCCCAGTCCTGGCTCTGTACTTCCAAGCTGTGTGACAGTTGGCAAGTGTCAAATGTGCTTCAGTTTGCTTTTCTTTAAAACTGAATAATTACAGTAGCTACATTTGAGGGTGGTTGAGTGTTAAATAAACTAGCGTCCATAAAGCCCCCAGGACGATCTGGTACAGAGTGAGCACTCTAGAGCGTTTGCTGTTACCAATAATACAGTCACTAACTCAGAAGAAAATAGAAATATTACACCTTTGAAAGTAGGTTTCTTTGAACATTTCTTCAGCTCCTACAACTTTTGCTTACTGTTTGATGTATACTTTGATGGTTGTAGCTCACACCCAATTTATTTCAATGCATATTAAAACTTGAATTTTAAATCTGGTGATACCATTTCATAATATGCGAGCGAGCAGAATTTTCTGATCTGACACTATGTTTAAATATAAGTCTTACTGTTCTGAAATGTCCTTTTCTGTCCCCAGATTACTCTGAGCTGGGAGAGCTACCGCCACGATCTCCTTTAGAACCGGTTTGTGAAGATGGGCCCGCTGGCCCTGTCCCAGAGGAGAGGAAAAGGACATCTCGAGAGCTTCGAGAGTTATGGCAAAAGGCTATTCTACAGCAGATCCTGCTGCTCAGAATGGAGAAGGAAAATCAGAAGCTGCAAGGTTGGTTTGCCATATTTTTTAGAACGAACAGGGCTGATAATCTTAATTTGTCTTGGCTCTGAAGTGAATCGCATCACACATAAGAATGCCATCTTTAAAAAAACAAACAAACCAAGATGCTCTAACATACGTACATACATACATATATACAAAATATCTGTTTACTTTTTCAAAGTGGAGTTAGTGCTTTTTACTTTCTGGAGGCTTCATGATAACCTCACCCAGTGCATTAAATTATTCCTGGATGGTCGTTTGCGGCATAACATCTGGAACTTCCGAGAGACAACCCTCAAATGTAAGCTTCAACTCTCTGAAGAGTGTTTTTTTTGTTTTGTTTTCTCTTTCCCGCCTTACTTTGTCCCCAGCCACAGTCTGAGCTGGGTGGTAGGTGTGAACTAATCCTGCACAAATCAGTGAAATTCATAACCTCACTCTATGTGCCTTTTGAGTGGGTTGCAGGTAACCTAAAGCAAAGAGGACGAAGCTTCAGTATTAGCTGAGTTCTAACTGAACAAGATCGAGATGCTTTATAGACAGACTCTTTTAATGCTGCCGACAGCTTTCCAGAAGGCAGGTGTTAGCCTGAAGAGGAAACTGAGGCTCACATCGGCCAAGTTCTTGCCTGGGGTTATGTCAGTATCAAAATACGACTTGAACTTTGAAAGTTTAGATTTTGTTCATTTCCTGTTTTCTTTACTGTTGCTTGAACCAAAAAATATTATCTTCATAGCAGCTAAGTGAAGTGGGTGGTATGGTGGAAAGAACGTGGGTCCTGGAGTATAGAGAGCTGACTGGATATAAAATACTGGGCATTTTGATGGGGAAATCTGAACATACTCTTTCCAAAGGAGGCTGTGCGGGCGGTTCACTTGTGCCGCCACGGCCCAGAGCAGTTTGGCAGTTAGAGCACATTTCATTGAATTTACTCCTTGGCCGCAGATGTTCATCTTTTATCTTGATGTCTGCATATAGAGCTGAAGGTTATTAAGGCACCAAATCTCGTAAGGTTCATAGTCCACCAGCGCATGTCATCTTTGACCAAAAACACGAAGTCAGATACAAAGTAATAAGACCTTTGAATATGAAAGTAGTTGAGCATTTGGCGTGGGCTACTTACAGGTGCTGTGGGCTCTCCCTGTACCCAGTATTGAGGCTGAGAGACCCTCGAGGTGCTGTGGGAAAGGGTGCAACTGTGAGGGGAGTTTACTGCAGTGATTGCTAAGATCTCTTCCAACTTGGTTTTTCTACCATTTTCTTGGGTGTTCTTGAAGGCAATTCTAAAAGCAGATGCTTGAAAGAGACTTGACAGTGATCACATCACTGAAGGTACATCAGCTACATGACTGCTTTGGAGCACAGGACTCATATTCATGCATATATTGGGTTGGGGTCTTTGTTGAAAAGCAGAGAGGCAGTTCAGTTCATCATGTAGGCCATAAGTCCTGACACTTCTCCGGGCCAGTCTGCTTGCACATGACAGCCACGGAAAATCAGGGCGTAGCTGTAAAATGGGCATGGCACCGGCTGGCTTCTTGGGACGTTGGGGGCATCATGGCTGCCATCGAAGAGACTGATCAGTGTGCCACGAGAGCAAAGCTTCTGTGAAGCTGTGTAAATGATGATTACAGACAAGAGTGAACAGGGAAGTGTTCCCTAAGGTGACCTGGAACACCTGGCCAGGTGTTGCATCAAGTTCACTGGGCCTTGCCAACATCTTGCCACCGCTTCCTCATTCCATCTGGTGGTGGTCCATCCTGTGAGGTCTTGCATTCTTGCTATTTGCATTAATTTCTCTTTTTGTCTCTATAAAGTTCAACATATGTGTTCACCATTGTGGTGAAAGCACAATAAATTGTTTAATTCAGAAAGCATTGACTGTTTCTGTGAGTACGGTACCTATATTGCTGAGACACTTCATCATCAATAAGAGCCTGACCGTGAATTGCCTAAAAAAACATTTTGTAAGCTTTGTTGGGGTGGGATGGGGGCAGAACTTTCTCTCATTAAATACAGAAGCAAGATTTGACATGAACCAACCAGGAGTATACCATGTACTAGAGAGACAGTCATTCTGCTACACTGTTTGTTTGTTTGTTTAACTTCTTTTTAAAGGAAAGTTAAATTGTAGCTGGGTGTGGGATGTGGTTCTTGTAATTGATCTAGTGTTTAAGCTAGATTGCATGCTGTTTGAGAAAGAAATGAGAAGAACATGTGTGAGGAGGTTCTTCCATGGTTAATTAAGCCTGTTTCCTAGATTTAAAAAAAAATTTTTAATGTTCATTTATTTTTGAGGCAGAGACAGAGCATGAGTGGGGGAGGGGCAGAGAGAGAGAGAGAGAGAGAGAGAGAGAGAGAGAGAGAGAGAATCCAAAAGCAGACTCCAGGCTCCCGAGCTGTCAGCACAGAGCCTGATGTGGGGCTCGAACTCACGGACCTCGAGATCATGACCTGAGCTAAAGTCAGATGCTTAACCGACTGAGCCACTAGGCGCCCCATCCTAGATTTTGAATATGTGGATTAAGTATCTGTTACTATTCGGGAAGCACTGCATCTGAGCAGGAACCAAACCACATCATCTAAATTCTCTTTAGTCCCTTATAGGTGGGACTATATTAAGCTGAATTCTAATTTCCCCAGATAACTTTTAATGGTTCTGGGACCAAAATACATTGCTTGTCTCCCAAGCCAGCAGTCTCCACCATGTCCCTCTGCAAGGCCATTCCTCCCCTATTACAAATGAAGAGGGGCGCAGTCGGTTAAGCGTCCGACTTCAGCCAGGTCACGATCTCGCGGTCCGTGAGTTCGAGCCCTGCGTCGGGCTCTGGGCTGATGGCTCAGAGCCTGGAGCCTGTTTCTGATTCTGTGTCTCCCTCTCTCTGCCCCTCCCCCGTTCATGCTCTGCCTCTCTCTGTCGCAAAAATAAATAAACGTTGAAAAAAAAATTTTTTGAAAAAAAACAAAAAAACAAATGAAGATGTGAGAAGTCCAATGCAGGACAGGATGTGTGGTTCAGTACAACCATGGTTTGGGGTCAGAACACTATTGCTTATCTCACTGACTGATGTAATTCAAAATTTCATGCTTCAGATTAAAGTGTTACACTATATCTGCATAATGGTATGATAACACATTGAATTTTGTATTTTAACTGAAATGTAATTGATATTTTTTAAAGGGTTTTTCCTGGTTAAGCAAATGCATTATGTTGGTTATGAAAAATAAGTAAAGACTGCGGTTCTTCTAACATCCCTACAAGTTTGGAGGTCACTTAATCACTGATGCTTCCAGCCTCTTGGCCTTTCCTTACTAAAGTTTTAAGAGATGATGGTAATTGGGGCACCTGGGTGGCTCAGTCAGTTAAGCAGCCAACTTTGGCTTAGGTCATGATCTTGCAGATCATGAGTTTGAGCCCCGTGTCAGGCTCTGTGCTCAAAGCTCAGAGCCCGGAGCCTGCTTCAGATTCTGTGTCTCCCTCTCTTTCCCTCTGCCCCTCTCCCGCTCATGCTCTGTCTCTCTGTGTCTCTCAAAAATAAATAAAAACATTTAAAAAATTAAAAAAAAAAAGAGGTGATGATAGTTGGAAGAACATTTTATTTGTGAAGGCAGTCACTAGCGATGCAGGATTGGGGACAGGCAGCTACAGCCCACCCTGTGTAAGAGACATAAATCAGACCTGAACGTCATTAGTCCGAAGTCTGAGTAGGCTCATACATTCATGGTAGATGGTAATAAATGTTTTAGATGAATCTTCTGTAAGGTTACGTTTGCTCTCATGTAGTCCTAGTGTCCCATAGCCCCAGAAATACTCAATCGTGGGTTTGTAGACCCTTATTTAATATTTTAAACGGTTTGGTCTTGTACATAAAGGCCTTGTCTGGGAGCTTTGACATTTGTTACAAGCGTGTACCATCCGCATTGCTTAATAAGACATTTTGGAGGCTCTGGATTTTAGGCAGCAATGTTAGGATACTCAAACTGCAGGATGGTGCTTAGGCCAACGGTAAAATACATGGATTAAGCCTTTTCAGTGGAATCTTCTGGCTAGATGTTATTGTCCTGTTGAGTTCAGAGAAGGCTCCTTGCATAGCTTGCTGGGCTCTTTAGTGCAGCCAGACAGGCTCACAGCAGAGCTCACTGTCAGAGAAATGTCCCTTGGCACTGAGAGCCCAGTGCTACCTGCAGTCACTGGCCAGCAAGGCTAGTCCTGAACCTGCTTTGCCACAAGGTGGTTTAATGGGACCTTCAAAAAAATGTATTCTTCAAAGTGAGAAGGAAAAGAATAAAGATGGTAGGTAGAAAATCGCAAGAGAGGCAGCACCAGGCCTGGAGTCACTTGACTACCCACCAGCCAGTAAATAACTTAGGGCAAGCCCTATACTTGCTCTGAACTTCAGTTTCTGTGTCCATGAAGTGAGAGGCTGGATGAGGGACGTTTTCAGCAGCGTCTTTTCTTGCATTTGTACTTGAAGGCAGTAATCAAGTCCATTAAGTACATAATCCATGCATCACATGAATAAGGTCTTACCATTAGGGTAGTGTTAACTAGATTAACTGAGTTAGCCTTTGCTCAATTTCTGACACGGAAAAAGAAAATATTTTATTTCATGTTATCAGCACTTAGTTTGTAAAGCAACATTTTAGACCTTTCCTTATTTGTCTTTATATTTTTGATAATTTGTGAGCACTTGCTGATTAGCAGAAATTTTTGGATGCTTGGTATATTTCATCTCACTGAATCCTCACAAGAATAACTCAATGAGGTAGCTGTAATTCCCGTTTTAAAAATAATAGGCACTGGAGTTCAGTGTAGTGGTTGGACCTGGAGGAAGGTATGGGGGGGGAGGGGGACTTTGGGTCCCGCTCCAGCACCTCCGACTTCTGTGGCCCCTCCTCTACTCCTGAATCAAGTGGGGATGGGGGTGGGGAGAGCATGTGGACTTTCAGGGGGCTGAGGGAGGACACACTTGGAGGGGCGGGGGTGGGGGGAGCACCGGGACCTTCAGGGAGCTGGGGGAGGACACACTTGGGGGGCGGGGAGAGCATGCGGACTCTCAGGGGGCTTGGGGAAGACACACTTATGTGATGTCTGCGTTGACTTAGCAGTGTCTCTAGGACTACGAATGGCTGTATGCCAGTAAACTTAACTGTTAAGATGCAATAGACAAACTGCATGAGAGGTACAGTTTACCAAAACTGAAATGAGAAGAAAAAGATCTGAATGGCCCTGTATCTGTTAAAGAGATCACATTTGTGTTGAAAATCTTTCACTTGAGGGGCGCCTGGGTGGCGCAGTCGGTTAAGCGTCCGACTTCAGCCAGGTCACGATCTCGCGGTCCGTAAGTTCGAGCCCCGCGTCGGGCTCTGGGCTGATGGCTCGGAGCCTGGAGCCTGTTTCCGATTCTGTGTCTCCCTCTCTCTCTGCCCCTCCCCCGTTCATGCTCTGTCTCTCTCTGTCCCAAAAATAAATAAACGTTGAAAAAAAAATTTAAAAAAAAAAAAAGAAAATCTTTCACTTGAAAAAACTCTAGGCCTGGAAAGTTCCCCTGGGTTCTGTCAAACATTTCAGGCCCCTGATAGATACATGCCTAGTCGCAGAAAAAAGATGTGTAACCATAAGCCCCATAGTGCGATGGAGAAGGGCAAGGGCCCCAGGCCCGCCCCACCTCCTGCTCAGGGACCTGGGAGTTGCTGGTCAGCCTCTCGGCCTTGGTTTTCTCAACCAGCACCCTGCCTCAGAGAGTCATTAAGATTAACTGCTGCTGAATATAAAGTACTTAGGACATAGCATTTGTTTATTATTATCATAAAGACCACAGTTGATCGTCTCTGCAGAGGCCTGTGCACTGGCTCATTTAGCTGGGCAATGCTATGTGTTGTCAAGATCTGAGACCTGAGGTGGGATGGATTTGGGGGCTCACGACATCACCACTGTGTTGAAATAGAATATCATGGTTTTAGGTGGGAGTGAAGTTGTCAGAGTTAATCCTGAGAATCATCAATTTAAACTTTTCCTTTATCAATTCCCTGCCTCTCCCCCCGCCCAACCCCAGTTTGGTAATCCAGGTATAATTCTTAAGGCAGTTTAAGCTGAATAAAGTTGGTGGGAAATAACAACTACCTTCGTACATTTGGGGCGATGTCATATGAAAGGGAAGATTTATTCTGTTGAGCTGCAGGAAGCAGAAACATGACGAGGTAGAGGCTACCTAAGAAGGTTTGTCTCTAAATAGGGAGAAACTGTCCTTGGAGAGGCTCTCCTGGTTCAGATGAAGAAATTGTGTTCATCTCTAACCATGCCAGGCACCAGGAATCTTAACGCATAGCTCCTGTCCTTAAGATGTTTGCAGTTTAGTAGGGTAGCTGTGAAGATTGATAGAACTGGACAGGTATGGGATATATTTTAGTAGTGGAGCCAACAGGTTTCTTGGGGCAGGGCGGGGCGTTGTGCAGGGGTCAGAGAAATAAATCAAGGACACCTACTAGGCATACTCAGCTTTTTCTAAGGTAAGGAAAATGAGGTGGCACAGGAACAGTGACTTTAGTCTGGACCTGTCAGCTTGGCTGTAACTGCTCACCATTCCAGTAGCGATGCTAGATGCTAGGAAATGAAGACTTGTAACCATAGCATTCTCTAACACTCTTGCATGATCTCTTCTAGCCTCTGAAAGCGATTTGCTGAACAAGCGCCTAAAGCTTGATTATGAAGAAATCACTCCTTGTCTTAAAGAAGTGACCACAGTGTGGGAAAAGATGCTTAGCACTCCAGGAAGATCAAAAATTAAGTTTGACATGGAAAAAATGCATTCGGCTGTTGGGCAAGGTAAGCTTTATGGGGAATCCATCCCGCCATCCTTACCTCCCATTGATGTTGGGAAGAGGTATGGAATAAAAAAACATTAAAGCCCAATTTTGGTGGCTGTTTCTCTCGTAGTTACCACACCTTTCTGTAGTCTGTTTCCACATATCTTAATTTGTGTGAGTTTCATCACCTTTCATGATTCCTCTTAATTAATTAAAATGCCCAGAAGCCTAGGAAGCAGGAAGAAGATAGGAAAACAGGGCTTAGTTGCCTACAAACTGGGTAATGATGACATATCTAAGTTAGATGGTAAAGCAAAAACTGATTGCATGGCTTCTCTGGGGAAACAACACAGTTTTATGCACAGACTTCGGACAGGTCGTCCCAGGTTTAGATCCCAGCCCTACTGATTTGCCAGGTGATCTTAGGCGAGTGACTTAGCCTCTCTGAGTTCCACTTTCCCTGTTTGTGAGGTGTGGGCAATGACAGTGATTGCTGTGAGCAGTAAAAAAGCTGATACCTGGAAGCACACTGCACATCCCTGCTACCCTGGAGGGCCCGGGTGGGTAGGCGGTGTTTGTGGGTTTTTAGTGTGGTGTACTGACAGCATGCGAGTCCACGCTGCTACTGGCCTAAGAATAGGACTTGGGACTAAACATTTAGAAACTTTTCCAGTAATTTGACAAGGGTGATCCAAAAAAAAAAAAAAAAAGTGGACTTGTCTTTTATCAGTCTTTTTTTTCTGTTTCATTTTTATATAAATTCATTTTTACTGTATTTTATAAAAGTATCAGCAGTGGATTGGAACATTTTAAAAGAAAACAAAAACTGGTTCTTCACAAATAGTTTGAGTAGCTCCATTTTACAGCTTAACTTTGATGATTATTAGTGTTCAAGTAAAACAACCATTTCTTTTAAATAAATGTATATTAGCATCTGCTGGCAAGATCAGAGACCTTTGGAGTCTAATTTTAGTGGTTATCAAGTTCTGGTCAGTTTAGTCAAGAATAACCAAGAATTCAGACAAAGCAGTTCAAATATGTATGAAGCTTAGTTTTCTTCTGTGGACTTTGTTAGCAGCTCAGCGGAAGAAGTTACACAGTGTTACTTATCTCAAGAGAGTGAGTGGGCCAAAGCATTTACTCCTACTGTAGTCTGTGGGCATTATTTAACCTTTATCTGAACTTGACTGTGTCACTTTCAGTAATAATATGGAGTGATTGCTAGTTACGACTTTCCCCTTTCTATGGATAAGGAAACATGACTCTGTTGTAATGGGCCCAGGGCCTGTTCACACACCCATCTCCTGGAGTTCTCACCACCACACAGCACTACCTGTGGTTGGACCTGCCTCGGCAGTGCTCTCCTCAGAGAGCAGAAGTGTGGCGGGTGGTGAGGACTCAGACTCTTAATTGGCCAGCGGCTTCCCGTGTGACCTTTGGCAGGTGTCCTCGCCCTCTTGGGCTCCAGCCTTCTGGCAGCTAGAGTGAGAGGCATAGACCCTACAGAGGGTCTCACAACTCTCTTCCAGTTCTCACGTTCTTTTGCCCCTAGTGATTGCTGGAGGCTTACCATTGCACCAAGTGGCCCCAGATTGCCGTTTGGAAAAGGGAGAAAGCAGAGAAAAGAAGGACTCTGTTCTTTCCCTTTTCACTGTTGACTATATGATGGTCTTCAGGTGGCTTTGCTTGTACAAAAGGTAAATCGCATGGGTCTGTGACAGCTGTTCTGAATGTTTGTGTTTCTTAGAAACCGGCACCTGGAGATACTGGTTTTCGTTATGTATTTGACAAGAGGGAACTGATGGAAACACTCCAGGCATCTGGAACCTGTGTAGTGAACTTTGGGATAGGTGATTATACAGTTTGTAAACTGAGATGAGCTGAGGCTAACCCTCTTGTGTCCACTGACATGGTCATATCATACCTTCTGTGGCGGAAACTCTATTTCTTACTGCACAAGGGGCTTTTTCAGTTATTCGGCTGGTTTTAACACATAAGATGTAATGACTCCAAACAAATGCCCACAGTCCATCTTGTAGCTCAGAATAAAAAACGAGATTAAGGGGGGGGGTCAGAACCACCCCTTTGGCCTCTTAGGTAGAGGCCAAGTTACTACAGAGACTTTGAAAGAGAAGATAGTCCCTGTGTGGGTGATGAGGCCCTTCCTCTTAATGGTCTGAGGACCCCTAAGTGATGGAAAAAGGGATTTATAAGCCTTCCAAGTTAAAATTGGATCAGAGCAGCAGGATTAGTGTGTCAGCTTAGGAGAAGGAAGAATAATTCTGTAGAGCTTTAAATAACTCAAAGCTTAGTTTGGGTTTAAATGATTTCACTGAAGATAGCAAGGTAGAGCTTTGTGAACCGGAGTATACTTTTCTAGGATTGAGATTGCGAAGAGGGCACCTCAGCAGTTGGCAGTTCAGGCCAGATGCAAACACTGCTTACCTGTGATCCAGCAATGCCACATGTAGAAACCTGTTCTAGAAATTAACCAGTCAAAAATGTACTGCAGTAGGAAGAATGCATATTATGGCGTTGTGTAGCCAGTAGCTAAAACAGAACCAGAAACTCCTGCCATGTGACCGCCCTGTGCCATAGTCCTCGAAAATGACACAGTAGATTTGTATTTACTGGTGTAAGAGATGTGTGAGATAAGTAAATGAAAAAAAAAAATACTGTATGGTCTCATGTCCAGTTGTATGTTTCTGTATGCACATAGTGTGTGACACATGCATGACACAATTGCACATATCCGAGTAATAGGATGACCATACATCCGGTTTACCTGGCACAGCCCTGGTTTACAGCTTGTCCCAGTGAAATAATAAATAGCCTTCCTCTCTGCTTTCAAATGCTTCCTGCTTTGGCGTGGTGAATTATGTGTTCACTCTAGTTATGAGTGAGTGGTTTTTCACTTTCTTTATACCTTTTGCATTTTTAGAAGGGCTTTTTTTTTTTTTTTTAAGTGGTGAGCACAAATTACTCTTGAAGTCAGTAAAAATAAAAAGGTGTTTATATTCAGGGGGAGAGTGGCCTCCTGTCCACCCGGAACCCTGCCTGCAGGCCCAGGGTACTAGTGGAGGCAAAACTGAGCATGGGGAAGGCTGTTCCAGTCCTTCTCAGCAAAAACATTGGCTCCAATTCGCATGACTCTTTGTTTTTAAATCACAAAACCTAAGCTCTCTTAAATACGAGAATATGTGGTACTGTCCAGTGACACAAGCGATATTCTCTTCTTCCAAAAAATAAACGTCTGCTAAGATAATGGGAATGATTTAGTAATAAGAGGAAATTGGTTATCTCATACCTTGGGAAAATATCCCAGTTTGAAAATAATAGTTTGTGAAAAAGCCCCACTATAAATCACTTAACGTGGTGACTGTTTTTCAGGCCACATTTACTTCTATTATAGTTTGAAATGTTAAGGGCTTGTGTGCGTGTGTGTACACACACACACACACACACACACACACACAATATGATATTCTTCGAAGCAGGGAGAGAGGAATGGAGTAATCTAAAAAGGCAGATGTCATGGTGTGTTAGTTTCCTGTTGCTTCCGTAACAAATTATTACAAAATTGATGGCTAAAACAGAAATTTTCTTCTCACACTCCTGGAGGCTAGAAGTCTGGGGTCAGGGTGTGGGCAGGGACGCACTGGGCATCCCTTGGCTTGTGGCTGCGTCACTGTGCTCTCTGTCTCCATGATCACATTGCCTGCTCTTCTCGTCTTCTCTGTGTCTCTTGTGATGACACACGTCATTGGATAGAGGGCCCACTTGCATCATAAGGATGCTGATCTCATTTTCAGACCTTAATTATGTCTACAAAGACTCTTTTTCCAAATCATGTTCACAGGTTCCAGGGGTTAGGATGCAGACACACATCTTTGGGGGCCACCATTCAACCCACTACGCAGGATCATGAGATTAATGCCAAGACCAGCATTTAGAGAGGGTGTGAGTTGTGGTCACAGTGAAGTGTGGCCCTGTATTTCTCCCACAGGCTCGCCTTTTTTGTTTTCTTTTACAACTGGGCTGTGTAAGGGAAAAGTCAAATTGCTTACCGTACCCAGGATATTTCTAGGAGATGGCTGAGTGATTGTTCTAAATAGTTCCTTGTGGATCTGGTAATAAATGAAATTGACCACTATCTGGTTCAGATCCACAAGTGATGATTTCATTATTAACCGCCAGGCAAGAACACAAAATATATGTTCTCTGGTCCCCACCCGAGTAGCAGCTTGCTGACTGCTCTGACAGAGACGACAGTCCCTCCCTCTGCTCTGCTCCTACCCAGCTGGGTGATCTCGGCTGAGGGACCTGTTCCTGTGGGCTTCAGCTTGTCTTTACCAGGAAGGGTCATCATCCAGTGTTCCTCAGCGGGTCATGGGGACGACGATGCAGTACTTAGGATGATGACAGCACCTGGCAACCTCGTGCTGGTCTAACCACTGCTGTCTTGCCAAGGGTACAGACTTCCGTCAGATGTGGCCAGTGGAAAACCAGGAAAACTGTCTTCCTGGGCAGACGCTCTGATGAGCAGGAAAGTGTTCAAAGCGGTCCCATTTTTTCGTGGAAGGAAGGAGACCTCAGTCCCTCAATCAGAGGCTCCTTTTCTCTCCAGAGGACTCCTGTCAGAGACGAGACACATCTGGTGTCTTACTCTGCAGGCTCCCTTGTCTCCCCATTTCTACATTCGGGCCTTCTAACAGCTTAATGGTGAACCAAAAAGTTCTGAATCAAAACCGTCAATATTCCTGCAAAGCTTGCCTTAAATGACGTCATTGGCTTTAAGAGAACTTCTAGTTTCAGAGGACATTTTTAATCACGTTGCGTAGTCAAATCAGTTGTACTGAAAACATGGAATAGAGGCTCTTGGGTGGCTTTTCTTGTTTTCCCATCCCAGTTGAATGCTGCCCGAGGCACGTTTGTGTGGACGGCGGCCAGTCCGGCCTCTTGTCCCTTTCTTAGCCCACCTTGTAGACGGTGTCTAATCCGTATTCCCCAATTAGGCTGCCCCCTCCCCAGCTCAAAAACATTCTGGGGTTCCCCAGAGCTGCCACATAAAGTGCAGGTAGCTTGCCTTTTACTTCGCCTCTAATAAATCCCTTCCCCCTTCCCACTGCCACCTGCCCCCACCACACATGCGCCCTGCACCCGAGGCAGAGAAACACGGAGAGTTTTCTTCCTCCGATGTGTCTTCTCTCTCCCTTACCCTTCCCACAGTCTTACGTCTTGGCACAAGTGAAGGATTCTGTGAAATCTTGCCATTCTTCGTCTGAACCCTCGTATGAGACAACATTTTGCATTGTAGTTTTACACGCCTGGGAGTCTTTGCCTCGAACATTAATTGGCACCAGATGGGGGCTCGTATTCATCAGCTTATCCACCACCCTCCCAAGTGTAGCACAGTCCGAACATCATATATATTTGAAAGCCGTAAGGAAAGTGCGAGGGGCCAGCGGAGGGGTGGGGAGGACGGGGGTGTGGAGGAAGGAAGGAAGGGGAGCAGGTAGGACAGAATTTTAGTTGTTTCCTTTCCCTTTTGACGCTGCTAATTCATATGAAACAAGAGGTTGTCAGTGGAGTGAAACCTAACTCATTTTTATTATTATGTCGTACTCTGAGCATAAAATCTGTTTCCTGCCCCTTCTCCTGAAGGTGTGCCACGTCATCACCGGGGGGAGATCTGGAAATTCCTAGCAGAGCAGCACCACCTCAAACACCAGTTTCCCAGTAAGCAGCAGCCAAAGGACACGCCATACAAAGAACTCTTGAAACGGCTCACCTCCCAACAGCACGCGATTCTTATTGACCTCGGTAAGTCTGCATTTGGTTCGACACGAAAATGGAAGGTCCACTCACTTGAAAAGTCTGGAGAGACTGTCTGGGTTATTTAGTGATCCGCCTTTAGGTTTAGCAATCAAAATTTACTGCTGAGACGTTCAATTGGAAAAGCCCTGCAGTAATCACAGCTGCCTGGAGTCATGTACTTGAAAGTGTATAAAAAGTCTCTCTCTCTGTTGTTGACTCCGCTCTGCACGAAGGCTCTGCTTGTGATCATCGTTCAGTTCAGTAATTCAGATACTGATAGGCAGTTTTATCGTCAACCAAAGGAACGTCCTGGAAAACAGAAGTGTCCATACCAAGGCTTGGTCTAATCACAGGAGCCGCCCCCTGGTCTTTACTAATTACAAACAGCACTTACGAGAAAAATTGTGGAAAGCAGTTTGTGGGTGGGTTGTGGGCCATTTTGTTTTGGAAACGGGGTGGCACCTGGTCTCTTGAACAGTGTTAAAAATGCTAAGATGGACACAGTGTATTGGCTGTATCCGCAGGTGCCCCAGTGAAGGACTCGTGGAATTGGGATGTAGCTGTGGTATATGAAAGGGCCCCTGACCTGTCCGTGGCCGTGAGTGCAGGTGGGGTGCATCCTCTTCTGGCCCCATGTGGCAGGAGCTCGGCCCTGTGGCTTTTAGAGGACATGGTCCTGCTTCCGGAACGTCCATCCCGGCTGCTGCTGCCACCAAGGGCACCTGAGGGTCCATCTGTGCTTTGGGCCCCGCAGTGGCCGTGCAGTAGCCGGGAGGCGAGGATATTTCCCAGTAATCTGGGGTGTGATCTAGATCAGACAGCATCGAGTCTTATCTGTCTGGCCACAGAGCAGATTAAAAGGTCAACTGCATAAAAGTTCTTCATTAGGTCCGAGCTCAGATATCACCTCTGAGAAACTGTGCCTTCAGACGACGAGGTGCTGCTGCTAAGCCTCTCTGTCCCGTTCCATGATACTTACACATTCATTATTGTTCCAATTACTGTTGTTACTTAAAGCTACTATGTAACTTTACCTTGAGCCAAATGCTGTGTAAAGTTACTTAACTCTCCTTCTTTAGTTTTCACACCAGGACCAGCTACCTATTGTTCTATCTCTGTTGAGAGTTGAGAAGATTGAAACACTGAGAGACCTTAAGTAACTTGCTTAAAGTAACACAGCTGGTGTGCTGCTGAGCAGTGTGGCTGCAGGGCCTGTGCCCTCTACCCCTCCCTCCCCAGCCAGTGTCCTCAGTGAATGGGCAGCGCCTTCCTACTGCCCTTCTCTGTCTAATGCCGTACTCTGTGGGCTGCACTGGGGCTGATGTACCTTCCTACCCCCAGCTCCTGGGACAGAGCCCGTCACGTACTAGGTGCTGAGAAGTCTGAGCTGCTGAACAGGAGCCACCACACTGGCATGCCACTCTCACATGACCCCCGTAACGGCCCTGGGAAATGGGCCCCGGATCCTCTTAAGAAATGAGGAAACTGAGGCACAGAGAGGTCTGCTCTCGACCATAGACACACAGTTAACTGGCAGGACCTCACCCCGCTGTGGCTGTGTGCCACAGTAAGGCCCCTCTGTCCTGAGGCCCTCTGAGCCCAGGATCCCCATGTGTTCCCGTGGAAATGGCTGGCCGGGTGAAGGGTGATGCTGACGGACCATGATGACTCCGTGGGGACAGTGTACAAGGCGTGGGGCTGGAGCCCGTTTGGCCCACTGACCCCAAGAAAAGCAGTTTTGTGACCTGGCAGCTGTGTTTGCTGATGTGATGAGTAACAGAAAAATGACACTGTTCCTATCACATGAAGTGAAGTGAAAAATAAATCGAGAGTAGGAGGTGGAAGGGGGTGGGAGGCACAGCCGTTTTCTGCATCTGCCCCCCACTCCACGGTGGGGTGGGAGGAGGAGGCGGGACCATGTTCTCCCTTCTTCAGTAAAGATGTTCCCTTCTCTGTCTCCTGGTGCTCTCCTGTACTCACTTTTCTGCAGATGGGGAAGAGAAGGCCAGGTCAGCTCAAGGGCCTGGGGGGGGGGGGGTGCCGCCCCTGCTGTGAGCCCACCGCAGCCTGTCCTCCGGTCAGCCCTAGGCTCGTGAGAGTTGAGATGCTGCCTTTTCTCGTTCACGGGCAGGGCCAGGCTGCACTCACATCCTCTGGTCCCTGCCTGTCTCCCAGCATCCCCTCGCACCCCCAGAGGCCGGCTGCAGCCACCCTCCCCGACCGCACTGGCTGCCTCTCCGCCTCACCTCTTTCCCAGTCCTGGCCTGGCCTCTACTGCGGGCCCTCCGAATGCACGCCCGAGGCCTGAAAAAGCTCTTTGCAGCAGTGCGTCTTCAAGAAACCTCTGTGCGTGTCTCCGGGTTTTATCCAGGGAGCCTTCCAGAGCCAGACTGCTCTCCTGACTTGAGCTGGGACGACCACCCAGCGATGGGCCCTGGCGTGCAGCCCACGGGCTCTGCTCAGCCGGGTTTCAGGGAGCGCTCACGCGGGAGTTCTAGCAGACTTTGCCACTGCTTCCCCCTCACTCCTCACCAAGGGGCAGCGTGTGCCCACCTAGTTGTTTAGTCTATACTCTCTATTTAGTCTGCACTGTGGCTAACGCGAGGCCTGGTAAAGGTGTGCAGTGCTGCCCAAAAACAAATCCGTATTTCAGTTTTTCCTGGAAGGCGGCATCTTTATCCTGGCCACAACAGAATGCCTGTTGATTGGGGTATTTTGGAACTTCATGGGTTTTTGTTTTCCTGCCGCTTGCTTTATTTTCTGAAATGAGCTGCTAATGTAATCAGCTTTTTATAAGATTTTTTCCTGCAAAGAGTAAGAATAATAGGTAGTCAGGCAGTTTCATAGTTTATAAAACATATTGCTTAGCCTTGTCGGGTTTCAACTTTACACAACACTATGTGAATGTGGACACATATTATTTCCACTTTAGAGATGATAAATGAAGCCCAGAGAGGTCGTGTGCTTTGTCCCAGTTACAAGCTGCTCGGTGGCAGAAAGTTCTGGAACCTAGGTCATCTTAGTGTCTGTATCGTGTCCCTTCCAGGACACTCTGTAGCTTCTGTCTTTCTTGGATCTGCCTCCCACCTGCCAACACAGCTTCCCCACCTTAGGGATGACCACACCCAGCCCAGGGAAAATAGAGCAGAGGATGCTTAGCGAATCATTCTTAGTTCAGGAACCTGCCCCAGCCTCTTAAGCCTGGTTCCACCTACAGTAATTCGTGCTGCCCCCAGGTAATTGCAGCTTTTCTCTTCTCTGGCTCTCCCTACTGAGTAGACCACATGACAACCAACATCCTGCCTTCTGGCTGTGCCTCTCACTCTGGTCACGGCCACACTTAAAAGCTGCCGGTGACGGTGAGCAGCTAGCTGGAGACCCCCTTCACGCTCCCTTCCTCGGTCTTCTGCCATTTCAGGGCTCCTGTCCCTGGCATCCCAGCCTGGATACCTTTCAGCACTCAGAACGTGCACCTACGAGGCTCTCCATCCTCTCCCCTGATAGGAGGGATTTAGCCAGAACAAAATGTGAACAGGTAATCCGAGAACACAGATAGAAACTGCTCCCGATCCTCCCCCACATCAATTACTTGTTTTATTAATCTGTGTTCCATAGGTTAGTAAAGCGGTGGCATAGCTTATATACTCCACAGAGGTCTAGTGAGTCTTTGGTGACCAGTAATAGTATTTTTGAGGGACTTCGAGTCTTTTTTTTTTTTTTTTTTTGTGAGGGAGAGAGAGAGAGAGAGAGAGAGAGGGGAAAAAACCCAAGCACTCTCCATGCTCTCAGCACAGAGCCCAACATGGGGCTCAGTCCCACCAACCATGAGATCATGACCTGAGCTGAAATCAAGAGTCAGACGCTTAACCAACTGAGCCACCCAGGTGCCCCTGATGGACTTCTAGAGACCCTTCATCAGTGACACCTACACGGGGTTAGCCATGCCCGTGCTGCAGCGAGAGGCAAAGGCAGGTATCCACGGACATGGTGGGGTCCACGATCCAGCATGGGAGCTGTCGTACTGATTTTTGCTTCCACTTAACATATTGTAACCAAAGGTGTAAAGCCTGCCTGGTATCTTGAAGAAAAGGAGCTGTAATCCAAGTGTTATAAAAAAGAATTTTCTCCTTGCTTTTTTAGAATCCATAAAAGATGAGGAGGAGAAGAGCCTCCAGAGTGAAGGATGAGCCGAGAGTGTTTAAGAAGACTAAATATAGAAGGGCAGACAGGGTTTTCCCTTCTCCTTCCCTCTTTGGTATTTGCCTCACTTGGCCGTGCCACAAAAGCTGAGTGCTGTGCGCTTTGGGTAGGAAATGGGGTTGTTCGTTAGCAGAGGATGGGTGCTGGTAGCCGTTTCATTTTTGGGTTGAAGTCCTGTGTGAGAAGCTAAAAAGCGTTAATGGCAAAACCCAGAAAAGTAGCTAGAATTTGTTGCACAGCAGTCTTGCTATGTAACACTCCTCTGTGTCCAGTTAGGGACTTAGGCAGGATGGAGGTCAGATGAACAGTCACAGCTCAACAGTCACAGCACCAACGGCTACATGCATAATTTCAGCAGGTCTGTCCTTGGCTCTGGTATTATCAAGACCACATTATGGGAACGTATTGATCCCCGAAATAGCATATTGATCACTCTTGAACCTCAGAGTGACAGGACTAAATGTGGATGTGATACAGCGGGGTGGCTTCATGTCTCCCTCTATTCTTCAAGCCAGTCACCGGTGTGCTGGCAAACAGCTCCCCCAAACCCCTCAAAAGGAGGCCTGATGATAGAATTTGCAGATTTCCACAGTGTAAATGGGCTAATTTTAAGCCACCCACTTGAGGTCACTGATTGTGGAATTTAGCAGAGATGTGCACAGACACGGGAGGAGCCAGTTCTTACGGTCACTGGACCCAGCCAAATGTTTCCTAAAAATAATCTGCATACAGAAGATGCACTCTGTATGCACTCTCCCCACTCTGCCCCCGTGTCATTCAATAGTCATTCCACAGATGCTTCTTGA